GTGTGTGTGTGTGTGTGTGTGTGAGGGGTAGGTGAAGCGGGGTGGTTGTAAAGGCATAAAAGATCATGTTGCGCTCACCTCATATGACCTCAACCGTCAACTGCTGGATTTGTTATTGCAGTTTTGTATATGGACGTGTTTTTGTGTTAAGGCGGGCAGAAAATAAAATGCTGCTTTGATTTTTAGTTCAATCATTTTGAGAAAAGAAAATGTCATCAACCATCACTAGCAGCCATTTTGAATTTAAAAAAAGCAGGTCACATAAGAGAAAGCACTCTGATCGCATGGAGAGAGAGAGAGAGACGGAGAGCGTAAAATGAAAGTCATGGTGACTCAACGGCTGTAACAGTGAAATTTTAGAAGTTGCAGAAGTGATCAGTTTAGACCATCGCGAACTGTCGCAAGCAGGGTGGGAAGAAAAAAAGAAAAGAGATGCAGACAGGGATGAGAGGAAAACGTAGCCCCTCGCGTCGTGTTTTTGTCTGTTACTGTGACATCACCAGCCTCGAGGAGCAGCTACAGATGGTGTCCACGGTAACAGAGCAGTCAGACACTTCTCCTCTAATACACAGTGACTCCTGAAATCCGCCCGATCGCTGCCAGAGAGAGAAGCTCGCCAAAGGAAACGCTACAGATAGAGCTGGCCCTGCAGCCACGACTAGTTAAGGAGCATCTTTCACCGCTTGTCTGCGTTTCCAGCGCGAAAAAATTCAAACTATGTCGACGAAAGATAGATACATCTCCTCCGATAATTCTTATCACTGACCAGCTCTTTCGACTCCACCATGGGATCTCAGTCTGAGCAGGACATTGCACTGTCTCATGATAATGATGGGATTTAAGGATAATTATGCAAATCAAACGTGGGCTGGGCTATGGAAGCTTCAAATGCTTCTTTTTAGGGATTTTTCATAATACCTGATAATGAGTGAATAGATGAGTTTGTTACTGCTTCATGCAAGACATGTAAAAACAATCAAAAATGATTCATCCACATCATTAGCTGTTTCCCTCATTCTCTTTCCCTAGAATCAGTGTAGGCTGATGAGCAGAGGGCATATTTGTCTTCATTGTTCAAAGTGTGTTTCAGGAAAGTGCTTCCAAGTTCAGGTGATAAGAACTATGAGGGGGGTTAAACTACATATTATAGGTCATGATTTAGTAGAATAATACGACGTTAATACAGCGGGGTTTTTTCACCAAGCAGCCGCTGCACTACTGAACTTTCCCTGCCTTCTTTAAGTTCAATCCAGGCCATGTTTTATTTTAATAGTGAGAGTCTGCACTTCCCCCGGTGAGCTCAGACTTGCCAAAATCCAGGCCAAACTGGGAACAATAATCCCACTGGCTACTGGGCAGGCTGTTTGATGATAAGTTGCAATAACATGTCCCACCCTGAGCGCACTCTCTTCTAGCTCTCTGTCTCACACTCGTAGACACACACCCAGCTTTGGTGATTGTGTGGGATTTATACAAACAATGAACCAATGAGTAAAGAATGCTGGGTGGGGCTGTATCCCATCCTTTTAAGGAGCAGACGTGAAGCATGCAGCAAGATGTTGCACTGTGCATGTGCGCGAGCCAGCAAGAAGGAGGGAAACACGAGACAGGTGAAGAAAAACGTCTCTCCCGTGAAGACTATAGTTAAAAGTATTCAGTAAAATGGGGGCTTTTGTATCCATTTGACTTGCAACCTTTAAATATAGTTTGTTATAAAAGTCTGAATGGATTAAGGCCAAAAAACCAGATCATCTCTGAACTGCTGCTACATTATGAACTGTCCACACATGTCTTAGACGAGCCAGTTATTCTTGCATGTGGCACAGCTAAACAGCGATATGCAGCATTCAGTTATAATTCTGCTCTTTTCAGGAAAACGCCTGCAGAAAACAGGTAAACTGTAACTTCAAGGTCTTTTAAAGTGAGGCTAAGGAGATTCCTAGCTTTACTGTTTTAGGTTTTATTTTATTTTTCTAACATATTCAACATGGTCACTTGATTGTTTCAATTTTTACTGTCTTATTTCTGGTATCAACGTTCTGATTTGGTGACAGCCCTACTTGGTAGGTTTACATTTTGTATATGTCAAGATGCAAACATCAGCTGAACCACTCAGTCTCCAGTTTATTAAACTTTTTCAAAGATTCCCCTAAAGGTTAAAATTTAATCAACTGAAACAGTGATTCTGTTTGGACTATATTTAACCCAGACTAACTATATGTTTGCCAGATGCTAGTGAAATAGGAGCTGGTCTATATTTTTTATAGTTCAAATTTTGTAATTTAAATACATCACAATCACTTGAATTCATTTTGTGATCTTTTGGTATGGTGGCCCTGAGAGGTAAAACGCCACTAAAGAACACAAAGCACAATGGACGCGGTTTTGGGGAGACAATTACGTGACTGACGAGCTACAGAAGTGACAGAAACCAAAGCACGTGAAAGACTGCACTGAGACACGTTTAAAAGAAGCAGAGGACTCATCTGAGATGTGTGTTTTAATCACATGACTCAGATGATACTGTAGACACATGTTTGCTATTATCCGTTTACTGTTAGCTTGTCATTTGCGCAGCTGGTCGATCAACACTTCTGTTGTATTTGTCCTCTCAGGGCCACTGTACTTTGGCCCCCTCAAAAAAATAACTGGAAACTCTGCAGCATAATTTCCTGAGGACATCAATCTGTCCAAACCTTTTACTAAAAAAATAAAAAAACCTAAAAACAAACACACAATATTCTAGTTACTGCAGGCTAACCCATTTGAAGCGTGACCGTGGATGTATTTATATCCTGCATACCGTTAACCTACATCCTTTTAAACACACTACAGAGACAGTTACAGTTGATCCAACTTCACTTCCCCTCTTATCTTTGATGCTCCAGCGTTGTGGTGTGATGTTATGGTGTAAGATTCAGTTGTGTTGAGTTGTGCTGTGAAGCTACTCTGTTCTCTGTACTGCGTTCCACTGACTTCTGTCTAAACATACACAGAGATGAAAGCCCTTTCTCTTCACACACACTCTGAATGAAGCTTTGTTCTGCTGGGGAATAGCACAGACTCAAAGGACCGGACCCAGCGGTTGGTCTCTTTGTCTACCATGCACCCAAATATGGCATAAAACATAAAATACAGCTAATTCAGTCAATATACTAATGTGCACGCTGACTGGAATTTCCTGGTAAAACAGCAAGCACCCAAATTACTGGAAAAAAGAGCGAGCCAGAAATATTCCGATGTGATAGTCTCATCTTATCCCTGCTAAATTTGCAAGCATTAAGTAATTAGCAATTCACAATCAATAACACCCATTTAGAGAAGAGAAAAATTGATTTTCTTTTCTTTTCAGTCACTTAATTTAGCATCAAATTAACAGCAGATTTTGAAGACAGCGAAGAAGACGGCAGAGGTCTTTGGAGTGTTAGTGATGTAGTGCCGTTTCTTTGCTGAGGCCTGCATTTCTATATCAGACCATAAACACGCACTCGTACTCATGCCCACATCTCCTTATTGGGGCTCAATCCACCCAGTAATCTGTGAAGTGAAGATTAGTGGTCAGAGAGTTGATGTGACCAGCGGGCCTTGTGGAGATATGAAGAAAAGAGGGAGTGTCAATCTATGATAATAGCCATACTGGTTACGGTGACGCATCCCCGCCCTCACCCAACAACGGCAGAGAGAAGGAGGATTACAGGCTAGAATAGAGTTACAACACGGACCACACAGAGTGCGATAAGGTACGTCGTGTGGCTGTGGGAAAAATGTGAGCAGAATGCAGCAGCGGATTTTCTGGGTTTTAGGAGAAAAATATTTCGCAAATTGCAGCTGTGGTTCAAATGTAAACACCCACATGCATGTGACACAGTAGCATCCACATAAAACTATTCATATAGACACAGACAGACAGACACACAAAATGCAGGCTGAGCAATGAGTTATTCACACTCGAGAGGGTGTTGGTTCTCAGAAATCCCTCAGGTCAGATGTCACGTACACAGGAGCTCTGGATCCAAACTTAGACCTCCCTCTGTTTTTTTGTTTTTTTCCTCACATGCCCCCCTCCTCTCCCTGTCTGCCTCTCTCTCTCTTGCTATCTCTTGATACACAAACCAACTTTCATGTGACTTTGTTTACATTAATGTCCCCCTTTCTCAGTTTAGCGATGCTTCTCCTCCTGCGAGGTCAGTTTCTTGCTTTTCATTATCCGTGATAACAGAGCAATCACATGAGTATTGATTTGAGCCGCAGCACTTTATGAAAGCCATCCAGTGCTCGCGACGTAGCCCGGTAACATTCATTTAATCATCTCCGAGCTCTGCCTCAGAGTGAGAAAGAAGAGTCGCTGAGCAGAAATCGCAAGTCTGAGGCAGCAATGACGCATCAATAGCAACACTGTTTCTGAAATGACTGAAGTGGGCTCTTTTTCTAATATTGGGCCTTCTGGGTTGAGAAATAAAGACTTTCTTTTATCTAAATGAGACATTTCAAAACTTAAAGCATGAGTAATGCAGTGGGATGCAATATATTCTCACTAAAGAAAATCTAAATGACAAGTAGACTTACAATGCCCTGTATATATATACATATTTATTTATTTGTTATAAAATATATAATACAGTCGTGGTGTATAATGAGCTTAGATTACAAAAGCAATCTGGAGACAGACAAAGAAAATGGGGAAGTGATCTTAATACAGAGAAAACAAAGTCACCTACAAATAAAGCCCCTTAGCCTGGGATGAGTTACGTGTACCAATCTCCTTCCACATTTTTTTGTCTTTCAACCAAGACTCCATCATTATCTCTATCACTTCAGAGTGGCAGCGTTGTGATACATTTCAACCCTAAGCATGACCTATAAAAGAAGGAAAAAAAGTTTAAAGGGGTCCTTTTTCTCTTTTATATACCTTCCTTTAGTCCCAGCTTTCTGCTCTCCCTTTTTTAACCCTTGTCACTCCCGCCACCATCTGCACAAGTCTCAGACAACAGGGGGAAAAAAGCCTCTTCTATCAGTAGCCAAGTAATAATGATTAGTTTAGTTTGCAGCACTAACAGATTTAATCTGGTATGTATTATGCTAATCTGATCTCACAGTCTGTAATCCTATCCACGGCTCTAATCCCACTGTCAACTGGCCTAATCCTGTTTCTGTGTGTGATTATGTCTTTCGGGCTTGGCACCAGCACGAGGACGATTTCACCCTCTTCCTCTCGTACAGCATTCTATCAAGTGGTTTAGCCTCATACTCTTTCTATTATGGAAGATTATATTCTGATATTCATAAAGTTTGCAAAAACAACAGCTGGAACTAGCAACAGCTAACTTGCAACTTCAGAATTAAATCCAGCCTAAAAGATTTTGCAAGCAAGGCTACAGCCACAAATGCAAGTCATACGCTACATTCTGCTGTCTGTGAGCATCATATAAAGTAATTAGGGCTAATAATTGGTGTTCAGATTGTGTCACTGTTCCAGGTCAAGAAAACAACAACACATGAATTATCCTGCCTAAATTAAGCCTACATTTGAGGGTGTCACTGTGACTCATTGCTCAATAACATATAATGAAATAAACAAATGCATAATGGAGAATATTTTAAGTTTCAGATTCGCCAAATAAGGTAAAAGAAGGTTTTCCTTGCGATGACAATGAAAACTGAATTGAAGACAAGCAGAAAGTGATTAAGACTGTTGCCATGAGTCTGACAGGCCCAGACACTGCGATTCTGAGAAGGAATGCACTTAAAGAAAAACAAGACAGGCACACAGAGAGCAATTGAGAAAGAGAAAAACACATGGACAGCTATCAACTATTTTTTTCCACTTTTTGCCTCACAGTCACTTCTAAAAAGCATGTGAGTGTGCAGCGCCTGACATAGCCTCCTTAATGTTTTGGCATCGACGGAGAGAAAAGAGGCAGGGTAAACGTGACAGCTGGACCGAGGAGGGGGAGTGGCAGAGTGAAAAGGTGTTAAGAGAATTGAATCTAAGTGAGCGGCTCTGCTCTCAAGCTACGCGCTCACCTGTCTTGTGGGATTGATGATAGCCTAGCTAACTGTAGCATCTGCTAGTACTGTTACCAGTAACTATTAATAAAGCTGATATAATTTTGTTTCTTTGTTATAAACTATATAGAGTGAAAAATGTAACCGAATGGGCACACCTTGCAGTTCATTGTGTTATCTATTGATTTGAATCACGGACCAGTGGCATTACCAACACTAATTATAAAGTATTGTGCCAAAGTCTTGACCCACCTCTCCATTTTTTAAAAATATTTTGCTTCCAAGGAGCCCAAATTTTTGTAACTTTTTAAAGGTGGGCTAGATCAATACTTCTCCAGGGTTTCTGAAGCTCTTTCCAAGTTTCTTTACTTAGACTTTGGCTTGTTTTCAGTCCAGTCCTTGTGCCTGACCATTTTCAGAGGAATTAAGCCACTTTAGACGGACCTATAAGTCATTCAAAAATTATAAGGCCACCTAATTCAAGGGATGAACCAGCGTTGTGTCTACATGCAAAGGACAATTTTGCAAAAAACACTTCAATACTAACTTTGTTACTGCACAAAAACACATAGTTGAGTTGAATTTGACTGATATGAATTGAAAAATACCAAAGATAACAGCAGCTTTAATGAGATAAAATAGTAATTTTGCATCAACAAGGCAAAATAAAAATCCACCAGACCCAACACAGAACCTGAGACACAGATCTTTCAGTTGATCCATCTACTGTTCACTGAAGCCTTAAACAGAAATGGTCTTAGTGGAAGACTGGGTGTCAAGAAGCCATTCTTAATGAAATCAAACAGGAAGAAAAGGGCGAGGTATGCCAATTTAAACAACAAGTGGACTGAAAATCAGTGGCAGCAGTGCTCACGAAGTTACTATGAATCCAAATGTGAAATTCCTGGTTCAAATATTGTCCCTAAGAACAGAGGAAGTTGGGAGAGAGGTGAGTGTCTACGGTCATCTGTAAAACACGGTGGAGGCTCTATCATTTCCGCCAGTGGAGTTGGAGATCTTGCCAATTTGACGGAATTATGAACACAGAAAAGTACCATCAGATTCTGATACCATCTGGAAAGCATCTGATTGTCAACAGCTTCACGCTTTAGCATGACAATAATCCCAAACATACTGTTAATACAGTAAAAGCATACCTGGCCTCCCCGGAGCCCAGATCTCACATTGCTGAAGCAGCTCGGGATCATCTTGACAGATAACAAAACAAAACGCAGGTAAGATCCAAAGAATAGCTTTGACTGTCCTTCGAGAAGCCTGGAGAACTATTCCTAAAGACTACTTAAAGAAATTACAAAAAGGTTTGCCAACCAGAGTTCAGGCTGTGTCGAAGAATAAAGGTGGTCACACCAAATATTGACTTTTGAGCTTGTTAGAATTGTAAAAACCACTTTTTGCCTTATATACTGTGTTTCCATATATGCACACATTTCAGTAAATCACTGCACCTACTTCCCATTTTCCCAACAAAATATAAAGAAATGAGGGGTGGACTCAGTACAGATTATGTTTTACGAGTTTCGGATAATTTAACGCTTGAATCGTGACTTTGATCTGTCAATATTTGCTACTGGGTGGAGCAAACAAACCCTCGGGCTATTTGTGGCTTTCTGTTAAGTCTGTACGTTAAAGACAGATTCAGAAAGGGCAGCTAGAGAAGTAATCATTGTATCACTGGTGCTATAAATGGGCCCAGTGTGATGCCGGGACAGGGACGGCTGACACCGAGAAGAAAAGACTGTTGTTGCTGATCTTCTGTCACATAAGCTCACAGACAAGATGCATAGATGCGCTGATGTGACAAGGATGCACACACAACCTAAAACAAGCAGGCCAAGGAAAAGGCTCTATGTGGTTTAGTGTGTGCATCAACCAGGATTAGCGTGGTCCAAGCATGAATGTGACAAAGACTTAAGAATAGGCCCATTGATGCCAGGAGAAAGAAAACTAAAAACGCCTACTTACTGAAATAAAATCCCAGTTATGGGTCTCAGTTTATTTTAATAAGCTAGAGGAAAGACTGAGCACAGCCACGCACAGCATCCGTTTAGCAGAAGCTGTATCGTACAGATGAATAAATCTACCCCTTAAATATATTTAAAGAGGAGAAAGAGCTTTTCTGTATGCAGTCATAGAAATCCCATTAGGAATGCAATTAAGATGAAAAGTCTGCAAGAGGAGTTACATCATTCTTGCCAGAATCCGACTGAAAATTTGCACCATGCCACTGAAAACAAACCTTGCTGACTATGGCTTGCACTTTTTGAAAGTCAGTGTATCAAAATCTCACATAGTGAGTACGGCTGACCTATGACCGACTTTGGATTCCACGTGCTCATCTGTGGCTGCTGTGTTGGAAAATGGCACATCTGTCTGTCTTTAGCGTGTGTGGTGTGCTTACGTTAACCCTTGCAGTTGATTTAACGTGGCAGAGTGTTCCTCAGGTTATCGCTGGCCAAAAAAAGTGACAGGTATTGAACGCACGTGGCCATATACAGTCAGTCATTGCGGAGACTGGCAGAAAAATTTGTTTGAAATCACAAAAATGCCGTCAGCTAGCAACATGGTTAATATTTACCAGAAAAGTCTGTCTGGTGTGTCTGTGTGTATTTAACCTCACTGTACTGGATCTAAACGTGCTGTCAAAATATGACCAGCGAAACGAGAGGAAAGGCAGATAGAGGAAAGAGAATGAACGGGAGAAAAAGCCAGACAGATGCAGTCCAGACCAGAAGTTGTAAATCAGGTGTAAAATAATGGCTAAAACAAAGTGTCAGGTCGCAGCTTTTATGCGTGTTTACATTGACGTAGACAGAGCCATGTGGGGAAATGTAAGCGGCCTAATAAAAAGAATTACCACCAGCGTGAGGCGTTGAAAAGTAGCTGGACAGCAATGCATAAAGTCAAATAAACCAGCATATTTAACAGATTGTGGAAAATCCTGTGGGGAAAATGACTAATTTAAGTATTCAGTCCATAGATATTAACACACGATATATCTTCACTGGGGATGCTCCCTCAGCCTTTTACCGCTGCTTGTTGTGGCATCTTTCCGTGATTAGTCTCAGCAGGGGGAAACCATCTGCAATCAGACTGATATCAGGTGATGCTCATGCTGTGACTTATGGGTAATTGCTTTTTTCTTTCAGTAACTTTTTTCTTTCATCATTCCTGTAGTTCACTTGTTACTTTTTTGTATATTTTTGAACTGCAATCTGTTTTTTCTGGATTTTCGGCTCGCGTGGGAGGTATCATGAACAACAGGGAAACATGCATGCCTACATCCTCTGTCTAGCAGCTTGTCAGGCATTTACATGAGTACTTCTGCTTTTTTTTTTCAACATTTCTAGCAGCTGACTTTGGCAAACCGATTACCTTTTGTGTACCTCTGATAGATTTTTTCTTTTGTTAACCCCTATTATTGTTTTCTTCAAGTGAAAGTGAACTCTTAACCCATATTGACAGAAAAATTCACATGAGTCTAATTGCCAACCTCAGTCACACAGTTCTTTTTACACGGATGTAAAGCATACTTGAGACTTGGCCTTTTACAGTAGCACCTGCTTTATGTCGAATTTAATGTGCCGAAGCGAGAAAAAATGGTCCCTGAACAAATAATTGGTGTGCAGATGGTAAACAAGAAAATATTTCTCATTTAACATCCAGCTCGCCTCAAACAGTGCAGCAACACAAACGAAGCGGCCGCAACAGCACCACAAATCCCGATGTAACGCACGTGCATGTGCTCAGAAACGTGATGACAGTGGCTGTGTCAGGCTGGCAGGTAGACAAAGCACAAAGTCTATGCTGTGTGAAAGCATGTGTGTGTGTGTGTATCTTCAAATGGTTCTCTGTGGTAGACGATCAACTGTTTGCATTTTTAAACATTTGGGATGCCATCCGGGGTTAAACAAGGACCTGCTCCTGACCTAATTCCACATGGGTTTGTGTTGTACGATACGTGTGTGGTAATAGCTGTGCTAGTAGGGTAGTTATCCAGGTGTAATGTGACCCATCTTGCCCGGGAATGGGTGTGTCCTGATGTAACAGACAGACCGAGTGGAACAGCACAGAAGGCGCTTTTAATGAGTATTAAAAACAAGCAACAACAAGTTCATTTACAGCAGAGAACAACTTGCCTCATATACTAATGAGGCAAGTTGCGCGCTTGTTTCTGCAACATTAAGCCCCTGTTACACTCCTATCAGCTTTAGTGTACAAGCAGAGAGAACAAGTGGTATCAACTAGAGTGAGTTAAAAGTAAGTTACTACGCTGTACCTCCTCGAAGTATCGGGTATATTTTAAACATCTGCCTCATCAGTTAATCTGTTGCTTAGATTAGTTTTAGCTATGAGGCCCGTTGTTTATTAAGATTCCAATTTATTACACCTCACCTATCTGCTCTGCAGTTAATCATTGACGGGCAAAGTTACAAAGCTGACTTTAAATCAGGGAGTCCAGGCTACCATTATCCCTCTCTAAATATTTACCCTGCTTCGACATAGCTGAGCTGTCTGTGCTGCACCAACCAGATAGACAGGCAACAGAAACGGCTGCACTCTGAGGTTAAGGCCAAGTGTAAGGCCAGCAAACACCCACAAGCATCTTGTTCAAGCACGGGCAGATTCAAAAGCACCTCCACTCTGTTACGGGTCTGTGGCCTAGATGGATACGTGGTTGTAATTGATTTTCTAGCTTGAGGGAATGTGGTGCACATATGATTACTGCCATGAGAAATCATGATTTAACTCCTTTTTACTATTTCTGGTATCAATATATTATGTACAATGTCATTTAGTGCCGGACAGATGTTTGTGAGGCCGTGACCGTGACATAAAAAAAAGAGAAAAAGGCCGAAAAGAGAGCGAGAGTGGCTGTTGGGGAAATGACTGGCTTTGGGTGTGACCTGCTCAGCTATGCACTAGTGATCATGTGAGACCTGTGCTAATTATACACTTCTCAAGAAGAAGGTCGATCCTCTCTCATGGGCAGAAAACATGTGCACATGTGTCCAGGAGGCTGCATTAGTGTCTGCGTGTTGGGAGTGGGCAATGTGGCTTCATGTAACACAACTCATTCGAGAGTTAGTCCTATTTCAACCTCTCAATCTGTGTTAAAGAGAATTAGGGCAGCTGATTTTTCATTCAGTGCTGCTGCCGGTCTGTTTAGAAAGACTAATGCAGAGAGAGTGTGTGTGTGTGTGTGTGTGTGTGTGTGTGCAGAACTAAAGGTTTATGCCTTATCATATAGTGTGAACAATTATCTGACAAATCCACAGGTTTTCTTTCTGATATTTCCTCTATCCTCTTTTGCTCTTTCTCTGTCTTTTTACTTTCTGCTTCTCTTTCCATTGTGGGTTTCGGAGACCTGCTCTGTTTTTCATTACCAGTGGAAAAAATGGGGCGAGTGGTTTAAAAAAAAAAAAAAGTATTACCCATCTCCATTAATACACATATCCTAGTGGAAAATGAGTCTAAACTACTAAAAAAGGACTTCAGAGTCCTTCAAAAAGCCACCGTATACTTGCCAGTCACTCCTTTTTAATGGCAACCTCTACCTCAGTGTGACAATTTAAACATCCGCCTGCAGATAAAAGCACCACTGCTCTCTCAGTCAATATCCTCTCGCAGTCAGTAACACTGAACTCAGGAGTCTGTGACATGTAGGTAACGTTGTGTTATGTCTGTAGCAGTTATGCTGCTGCAGCAGGTCTTCAGTTTGCTAAAACTTGAATATAACTGGATGCCACCTTTTTTTTGTTTTGGCTATTTTAAAATGTTAATCCAAATTATTTTCTGACATCTGGCAACACAATATTTTAACTATGTGAGGCTGAGTAAACTAAACTGCTTATGAGTATTATGAGTGCCTTATGTCCCACTTTTGCAAAGTTGCAGTGTTTTGAGAAGATTTCAGGAGATTAAGCTGTGAAAATATATTAAACTTTTCTTGTAATTTTCATGTGCACAGGTGAAGAAGCTGCTGAACAGTCAGCTTGGGCCTGACAATGTTCTTTTGTCCACATCTGGCTGTAACAACTCTTCCCCTGAGTTGCGCTGCGCACACGCTGTCCTCATCCTAACCCTGCTCACATGCAGTCAATGACCACGAGTCACCAGTATCTGCCGGACAATACAAACACGAAAAACATACAGTGCCAAGTCAATGCTGGAAACTTTGGGTTGAGGTCCACCCATCTCCAGAGATCTTGTGCTCCGATAAAAAGAGTCATTGTGAAAGAGCGAGAGAATCGACGAGAGTGAGAGAGAGAAAAAAAGAGGTGTTTGCTTTCCTGCTGCTGCCTAAAAATGGAAAATTACTGCATACAGTTCCCCAACTCTGCTCTAAAGCAGATACACATATAGAAACACACACAAACCCCTTATAACTGCCCTTAGGCCTCTGAACAGGAAGTGGTTTCAGCGAATGAGAGCTACATGATGACGCTATCGCCTTGTTCGTTTCTAGCAGCTGAGCTTTGTTTAGGGCATCCGTATGAGTTTGTACATCTGGCTATTCATCAGACTGTTCGTCTGCTTTTCTATTCAAACACTGCCCCACAGCAAACATGATCACTTCCAGAATAACTGCGCTATTGTAGTAAATTCATGCAACTGTGTTTATGTGCAGTGTAATCAGTCGGAAAAGCAGCCGATTCTTGAATGAATTCCATTTGGAAGTAAACACTACTCAAAACATTTCGGACTGCGCCAGAAAATTCCACAGCTCTGTGTTAAATATGCCGAACTGCCTCACCTAACCCCACCGCCAAAACACCCACCCCCCTCCATTCTGCACCCTTCATCACATGTTCCAGTCACCTGACCAGAAATAGGTCGGACCAAGGAGAGCACATGCTGTGGCCAGATGGTGCACTCCAGTTTGTTATTTCCAGTTTGCAACACCATAAATTCCCTCAAACCGCCTGTCAGACCGAATGTGCTCAGTCTCTTATCTGTATCTCTTTATCGACTCCAGATCTCCTGCTCGCCACTTCTCCTTTCTTACCTTGAGCGAGTCGAAGCAAGCGATGACCCGTCCGTTGTCCACCTGGCAGCTCTTGGCTGGGTGAGCGAACTTGCACTCCTGGTCGGAGCGTGAGCAGGTGCCCCTCTGGAACTCCCGACATACTTCCAGTGTCAGCCACTTTGTGTCACGGATGTGTGTTATGTTCATTGCCATCTCAAGACGCCGGCAGAAAAAAGTATTCCGAGCGGAGATCTGTTCGAAAACTCTTCGAAATCTGTTCAAATTAAGTACCTATAGTGTTGTTATCCACAATCTTTTTCTTTTTCTGTTTACTTATCAGTGTTGTCACTGTCTGGGATACTTGTCTGTGAAGATGAAATGAAACACTCAAAAAGAAAAGTTCCTACTGATTGACTGGGCTCCTTCTCCAAAGTAAAATGTTGCAGGATGGCTGTGGATGTAAGCAGGTCCTATTCTTGATCAGACAGCGGCTGATAGAGTTATTATATCCAGGGGAGACTACTTAGCTTAACAGTCAAGCTGCCTCTCTTGGTTAGACTTCTCTCTCTCACTTGTTATTGCTTACTGAACTGCGTCATCTATAACATTCCCAGGCGAAGGTGACAGCCGAACTGAGAGCCCTCTGGTTAGGTGCAGTGAAGCAGGCAACAAAGGTGACAGTCTAGGTGTAGCCTGCTACAAGAAGGTTAAGGACACTGAGGACTAAGTGGAGGCTTTAGAGGGTTGAAGGCGAAGGTGAAAGGCAAGGTGATGCTGTGTGGGCCTGGTGGTGTGTTGGGCTGCTGTGGTAAGGCTGGTCAGCTGGTGGATAGTTGCTGGCAGCAGGGCCGTCTTACAGTGAGGAGAGCGGAGTTTGGAGTCAGGCTGCGTGGAGTGGATGATGATGGTACAGTGGATGGGGTCGGAGCGAAGGCTGCGAGGAGGGTGTGGCTGCTGTCCTTGTACTCGTGTTGCTGTGGCAGCAAGCGAGCGAGGCAGGGGGGAGGGTGGAGCTTCAGCTGTAGAAGCAGGTCAAAGCTGCAGCAGACATCAGGGAAGGCACTTCCTCTGGGGAGATAAAGAGAGAGATAGAAGAAAGGGGAAAAAAGGAACGAAAGATTAGTCTATATACAACACGTTAACAAAAAGAAGATAACAACTATCGTGTTTGTTTTCCCGCTCGTGTGTCTTTCAGAGAAGATTCTGACCTGCAGGATTTTTAAAGTCGTGACACTGCTGAGCTATGCAGCTGTGGGAGTGAAGAATATGTAAAAATCTCAGAAATGCAGGGGTGTCAGCGAAAACAAATAAAACTTTCACCCGCCCTGCGCTCTAAACACACATAGTGCAAGCACACCTTCATCAGGCCATGCTACGCACAAACAGACACACACACATAGAGAGAGAAATGCACAAAGCAGCCATTCACAACTTTCCACATCATCTGGACAACGCAGAGAAAAGCACATCAAATCCCGTATCACTTACAGTCCAGTACAGCAAAGCCGGCCATTGCAAATGTGTTTAGAGGTGAAAGAAAGGAAGAGAGTGAAAGCAAGGGGGAAGTTGAGGCTGGGCATGAGGGAGAAGAGTTTAGTCATTTCCTTTCTTGCGAAGCCTTGTGAGAGCGGTGGCCAATGAGAGCTTGCGGAGTTGCAGCAACATTCTGGGCCGAGCGCCAGGTGAGAGCAAGGGGGAGGAGCGAACAGGAGGCTGACCTGCCCGCTTGCTGTTGAAAGACACACAGGCTGAACTGTTTCTGCCTCACAAGATAACCTGTTTCCTTATCAAAACAATAAAATTCATGGACTCCAGAGATAATGTCGTTTTATTTTTAAATAGGAAATACCACCGTTGCAGTAAGGCAATGCATATTGCAAAGGTCTCGCACAAATGCAAGCTCGCACGCAGTAATTGTGCAGAACACGATTGAACGAAACAGCCTGGTTATTATTTCACTGTCAGAATTTTCCCATTTATCACTTTTAAATGAGTTTATACATTTAAATGAGTCGTTTTTTGCTTTGCGTTTGTTTTGATTGTTTGTTTAAATTTTGCATTGCTGCCAGTGGTTTCTATTTTTGGTGAATCCATTGTATGGGGTCTGTTGGGGGAATCTGCATGATTGGGATCCCAGGGGCCCATCCTGCCCTTATCGCTAAGCCAGAGTAAGTCACCACACCCTGTGTAGTGAAATCGCTTTCCCCAGAAAAGCATGTGCACCCTCAGCAATGCCACCAACCAACCACTGCTAACTTTACAACACTGCAACACACTATATCAGAGCCCTGCAGCAGCGCAGCGCAGCCCATGATGAGCCAGCAACATGGATAAACAGTGTATTTAGAGAAAGAGAGAGAGAGAGAGAGAGAATGACAAAACATTTCAGTTTCACCTTGGATGACCCTTATGATAGCAAATGTAGCAATGTAGCATTAGAAATGACCTTTGGCGTGTATTCGGAACGCAAATCCTGCAACGACCATACTCGACGACTACACACATACCCAGACAATTATCTTTCATATCACGTGCTATATGGAGATCAAAATTAATTAACTTTACAATGAAACACAAACATAAAACATCTGTCTCTTCACTATAACTAGTGCTGTGTCAGTTTTTGGATCGATCCGATACCAAAGGAATACATATACACGGCCAGTATTGCCGATACCAGTAACGATAACCTACAGCGGGAGTTTATGTAGTGGAAAGCAGTGTGTCGTGATTTATGAGCTGAATCATCATCTATTCATATTTTAATAATTTCAGCATATTTTAATGACCCCTAAATCGTTATGATTTTTTACTTTCCACAGTAATTAGTTGATACAACAAAGCACACTTTTCAGCTTTTTCATCTATTTTAAAACTATTTTTCTTTAGACCTGGAATGTAAATGTGCCTGTATCTGAAGCACTTTGGATCAACTTCTGTTGTTTAAATGTGATGTGACACAATTCAGTGGGCTACATATTGAGAGGTTAGAAACAAAGTATCACTCTGATACCAACACCAGCGTTGGTATGAATACTAACGATATTTGGATCGATCTGCACACCTCTCTTATCTTAGCAAATGTTGCACAAGAAGCAATAGTTTTCCTGCCGGTTTAAAAACTCTTTTATGCCAAAAAACATTTTTGAGTAACAGAACTTAGATTGAATATCTTCGTCAGAGTGCAACTCTTCCAGCATGCTGCATGTCATACTTTTGTTTGTGTGACTCGGGCCACATTTCTGTTCCCATGAACTCACATTCACGTGAAGTCATTCATCAACTTGCGCACACTGCTACATAAATGTCAAGTCAGTCGAGAGTAATCTTTATGTGTGTTCATGAATGGTCTGTTATTATCACTAAATGTTGATCTTACATGTACCTATTACAATTGAGTCTGATGAGGCATTTAGTGACACACTTTTACTACCAAGTACACTTTGTGGGGTTCAACTGAACCATGTTGTCTGGACACTAATGAGGTGGAACAGAGACATCTAATTCTTTTTTTTTTTTTTTTAACTAAAGGCACCTGGAACTGTCTTCAATCAAATGCGAGGGTGTGACGACTTGATGCATTAAAAGCTGACAGCCCCCTGAGTCTGTCGGCTTGCCTAATCAGTTTCTGTGGTTTTGGTCAGATGAGAACACAGCTGTGAGGGAGAAACAATGTCATATGGTGTAAGACGAGCCAGAGTTATAATGAATCCTCATTATGATCCATCATGTCTGGACAAGGGCCTCCTTCCCTTATTGATTTCCTCATCTCTACAGTTTTTTTCTGTTGGTGTGCCACTCCCTCTATCTAATTCCACTTTAACTGTCAGTGCTCTTCGAGTATCCATTTCAAATCAGCGAGTGTTTAACATTATCTTCTTCTCTGCTCTTTCCACAAAATTTCTAACAGTAATATAATTTGAACAGGTGGATCTGTGATTTCCTTCCTATTGTTTCGGCCACCTCAACTCCACCCACGTCTCTGCCTTCGTGCCCTCGGTGTGATTATCTGGCCTATGTTCTCGTTCAGCATCCTCGGCAGCCGTCCCTTAGACTCCAAGGTCTTGTAAGCTGGTGCAAGGTCGATCAGAGTGGTGGAAGGGGAGACAGCGAGAGAGCGCAAGCAAGACATTCTTCCTATTGCTCTTTTAGGACACGTGGTAGTAAGACTTTGGGCCGGCAAGAAGAGGAAGCGGAAGAAGAATCGGTCCTGTGACAACAGCATACACTTTTATGGCATAAACAGTTTTGAAAATCAAGCCTCCACATCTTTTACTTTCTCTTCCTTTTGAGCCATGAAACAAATCTGTTCTCGCTATGAAAAAACAGAACAAACTGTCAATATTCACCCTATGCCGAAAGCCCCTACAAATCATAAAACCTGACACTGACGTGCATGGTGAATGGTGCTGAATGGCAGTCGTGCATGAAAACATGCCTCAGCTGACTGAAAAGTGGAATCTACCAAAGACACATGCTAATCTGGCAGCTGGTTTTGGGATTTTGGAGTCCTTATTGCAACTGGAAAACTCAGCAGGGCCGAGAAAACAAGAAATAAGGTGTGGCTCACAGTTATGATAAGACTTCCTGAAAAAATGAGCGACACATTATTAGTTTAGATAAACGTGGCTTGACTTCATGGCCACGAAATACTTAAGGCTCTTTATTGCATAGACGCATAAAATGGAATAACTAGCGCAGTATTAACAGAGATTAATCTCAAGAAAATGCACGTATGCTACTGGTTATATTGCACCATCTGGTATGGCTACCTAATTAGCAAACCACAGCTTCGAGGCGGAGCTTCTATTTTCGACTGTGACAGCGGAGAAAGACGCAGTCATCCCTTTTGGTTCGCTGCTGTTCAGCGCAGGGAGTGGTTTCCGCATTTTGCCAGAGGTGGTGTCAGGGTGACAGTGTGCTGATACAGGTCGTCACGCTGTACGAAACACAACACCTCTGGACTTGCTGCTCAGAAGCTAGCATGCCAATACTGCCCTCGTTGACCTTTACACATGCTTACACACCGGTGCATATCTGGACACATATTGATACTTTCTTTATCTTTTCTGCATTGATGCACAAATGTAGAGGCTAAATGATGCTGCTCAGATCTCAGTTGGTTGAGAGACTGCATTCAGTAAGGTATCCAAAAAGATTCGTGCAAGTGTATACAGGACACACTATTTACTTACACTTCATTTATTAGTTTGGTTTAATGTGAGTACAGATCACATGGACAGAGAGCTGTGCAAATATAACATTGCTGTTTTGAGCTGTGCCACATCTGTTACTCTTATCAACTTCATTGGCATGCTCGTCCGCATCATAAAGTCATTAACTTGTCTTATTTATTAGTCGCATCAAGTTATGTATTTGATTAAGGTTTCCTGAAAGTAACTCTTTGGCTAGAAACGCAAAACTAACAATGCCTATTGATTCTCTAGAGGAGCAAACCTCTGGAGACAATGAGAGCTCTTGTGTGGCACACATGGACAGCGCTAAACACACACACACGCTGACAACATACATAAGCGAGAACCTGTGTAAACACACAAACCTCTATCCGACTCGACACTGGGCATTCTTAAACTGTGGTGAATATCTGATTGTGGGCAACACTGCATCTTTGTGCGCACATGTGTGTGTAAGGATGTTGTGAAATCAACAGACAGTGAGGATAATGGCGGGCCTTATGGTTTATAGAGTGGCTCGCTGGCTCGCGTTTATGTCGTCTGTGTCAGTACACAGAGAGACAGGGGCTAATTTCTACTGAAACGCACTAAGACGATTGCAAATAGCCAAAAGTAAAGTAAGATAACAAGTGAACAATTCACAAGTTTCAAAACAAGAGAATCATATGCTCTGACCTTTGCAGTCACCGGATCTCAATCTGACTGAGCAATCGTGGAAGATTCTGGGTGGGTATATGGAAAAATATCCTTTAGAACTGCAGTGTTGATTCCTCTGGGTGTTCAGAAAGTGTAAAATCCAGGATATTTTGAACTTATACCCTTACTCACTACTTAATAAGACCCTATTTAAGAAGTTACTGAATCCCCAAATTATACAGAAGCACTGCTTAACCTAGGTGCATTACACCTACAACAAAAAAATGCATACTTTAATTTGTTTCAGCCGATGATCAGGAAGTGTTGCCGTGACTGTGTGATTTTGCCCAATAAGACCACAGCAATATTGCTAAATCTTTTTTTCCCCTGAAAAGTAGCACAAACTGTCAGTCTGAAATTTCTCTCCTCATTATTTCCTTTTAAGGTCACAACTCTGCAACTGTCTGCTATATTTTTCATTTAAATATTTGCAGAACAAAATTTTCATTCCTGGACAAACACTAAGGCATCTAATCATGTGTTCCACTACTAATCCCACGCTAAGCACCTATATTTGGCTGCGTTATCTGTGTATTTTATGCAAAGACACATTACCAGTCACCAATTTTATCTTCTGCCCTAATCACCAGTGACCACGTCATGCAATGTCTCATGCTTGCATTGACCGAATATTACCGGGGCCCCTTCTCTGCTAGACTGAGGCAAAGGTTGCTAGAAAAAGCCCGAGCGAGAGAATCAGACTAGTGGGACGGCAGCGTTATAAATGTTACAGCCATCTGACACGCTGTCGGAGATGAAGAGGCCTAAGAAGTCATGGCTGTCAAGAGAAACAAGTAGAAGCTTGTGTTGACATGTGTACCTCCGGACAGAACAATAATGAAATATCTAGACCCTTATTACTGGCAGCACAAACAGCAGCTTTGACACATCAGTCATCCCACATACTAGCGCTGCTGTGTAGCTCTGATAAAATAGGCACTGCTGCTATCGTGTGATGTCTAAAACAGAAGCCTGAAAATAAGAACAGGAAGAAACATGTATCAAGTCAGGTTAAAACCTCATTTATTACTGGTGTATTACTTTGCTAAGGGCATTTCTTATTTTTAGCTTAGCTTAAAGTGTGTCATGCTCGGGCAAAACTGTGTCAAACTTCCTCAGAGAGGATGAAATGTGGTTGTATCACCAGAAGCATACAGAGAAGCCCTCGTGTAATAAAGGCTTAACCTGTCAGCGCACATTCAGCCAGGCACATCCTTTCTGTAGGGCAGATTCTAAATGATAGGAAGCACATATAAATGCAGAGTAATTTGCACCTGAATGTATGCACGTATGCGACTCGACGCCGAGAGAGCAACGTGATCTTACGACTTCCTTATCTGCCATAATCACAGTGACACGTTCTTTAGCCAGACAGAAATTGACAGTCTACCTGCAGTGCACCTATTGTGGAGATTTTTCCAAAGTCTCTACTAAGTAATCTGCCACACATCTGTCTTTGCTGCGACTGCTCACATGTGTGCACATACTTGGGTGTGTGTGCTACTGTCTGAGCCACCATGAATCCCTCTAAGTCACAACAACAACATTCCTCATCATTGCACCAACCACCAACAAGCCACCGAGGGTATACTCAGAGATCATGAGGAGAAGGACAAAGACGGGAGGAGAAGGAATGAAGGCGTCAGATACTTTTAGAAATAAAATCGTGACCAGCTGCTGTTCACAAATTGTTTTAAAGCAACAAACAAACAGCAAAATTAATGTAATTAGTGCTAAAAGATATTATTGTATGAATTAAAATGCTTTTCGTTCCTTATAAACTAGTCTGATCTACACGGACAAACCAGCCTGGTCTGTAATCGCTTGGAAAAAATGTATTACAGTACACTGCAAGTCACCCAAACAAAGTAAACTCTTAAGTCGACTTACTTTCACTCCCGTTTAAAGATCAACAAGTAAAACCTTCTCCATTTACGCGGTCTCCTTCTCCCATGTTTCTCTGTCCTTCTTTCCCCTCTTCCCTTCTCTTTGCAACTTTCTTCCTCTCTCTCTCTCTCTCTCTCTCTCTCGGTTACTCCCCCCTCTGTCAGACGCATGCAAACACTTACTTAGAGACACACACACACACACACACTCCCACAGACAGAGTCACCCCCTCACACACTCTCTCCTCCCGCGACCCGAAATGCTTGGCAAACATTCTAACGTACTGAAATACTGCTTGCCATATAAGGTAGCACCAGCTTCACATGTCACACATAATTTACATACGGCGGGGCGGGAGTTTGCCTTACACAGGGCACGCATGTTAAGGAAACACACATGTGGTAGATCCATGCTTTCGCTTTGGGCTGACACAGCAAGAAAGAGGGAAGACGTATAGGAGAGTCAAATGATACCATTCTCCCTGTTAACCAAGCCCTGAAGGATAACTCCAAACATGTCCTATGTTGAGTCAGGCAGAGGGAATGAAAGCTGAGTGGGCGATCTATTGATCCTCTCCACTGCTTCCTGGAACAACCACGGCCCTCTAAACACACACAAGCAAATTTTCTTGCTAACTAGCGCTACCCTCAGGAACGAGCTATTGTGTGACTGTCTGGTGTGAGCCAAGAATGTGTCTAAATGTGTGCGTGCCTCTCTCTCTCTCTCTCTCTCTCTCCCTATATATATATATATATTATATGTTAATATATTATAATATATATATATAGTAATATATATATATATATATATATATATATATATTATATATTATATATATATAATATATATATATATATATATAATTACATTATATATATATATATATATATATATATTACTATACACACACACAACAAGCCATAACAAATGGAAGTTAGCCATGTGGTACACACACACCTACATACACACAGAGAGCAGACACCAAGACAAGCAATCTCGACATCTCTACCTATTCTCCATTGCACAAGTGCCTACTTTGGAAAGTGAAGGCAGCACACACACACACACACACACACACACACACACACACACACACACAGGAGGAAAGATCTAGATAAACCAGTGAGGCAGGGAGGAGGGTTATGAACCAAGCTCTTACCTCTCACATTGCCCTCCAGTTTGTGTGTGCGTGCTTCCGCGTGTCGACTGGCTCTGTATGTTTATGCGTGTATTCAGACAGGCCGCGACAGCAGACCCCCAGGCACCGGCTGGACCATTCTCAGGCAGGCAGGCAGAACACAGCAAGGCAGAGCGACTGGCAGAAGAGGAGGCAAGCGAGTGAGCGAGTGAATCAGCAGCGAATGAGTAAAGGAGCTGTGCGCGGAGCCGAGCACCCAGAGTGAGGGAGAGCGGATAGGGAGAAAGCAAGAGAGAGAGAGGAGGAGTGTTTGTCTGTGCGGTTGTGTGTGTATGCGTTGCAGCGTTGGCTGTGTGCGCTAGTGTCTCCCCTCCCCTGCCTCTCCAAGTGGCTAAGCTGGGTTGTGCAGAGCTGTGCTGAGACGGGGCTGGGCTGTGTCTTTACTGACTCCCCAGCCTCTGGATCATCTGTCTGCTGCAGGAAAGTAGTGCTCACTGGGCGGCAGTGGCAACAGCTGTGGAGGAGGAGGACGACGACGAAGAAGAGGAGGGAGGGAGACCGGACTGCACTGGGCATACAGATCCTGCAGTTCCCTCTCCCTCCTTTTCATTCCCACTGAAGCTGGCCACGCCCCCCCCTCCAAAAACACCAGGAAGTGCTGGCTCAGTTACAGCAGCACTGTCCTTGCCTATTCAGTGAGGCTGAGGTAGGAGAGAGGGAAGAGGCAGGAAGGAAAGATTGGGAAAACCCAGCAACAAGAAAAGATGAACATTAGTAACAGGATAAACATACCAGTGAGGAAAGGTCATGCACAGCGAGGACTTTAGAAGTAAAAGTCATGAGAGTGATGTTAAATACAACTAGAAAGGAAAAGAATGAGTGAAGGAAGGGTCTTAATGAGGTCAGGAAGAAAAGGAAGAAATGGCAATTGGAAAGAATGAATAGAATATGGGGTGTGGAAGAAACAGTTATGGAAAGACCCAACAGTTATGATGGGTTTTTGCATCAGATTTGGTCTGGCTTCTTTCCAGATCCTCTCTCTCACTTTCATACTGCTTTCCATCCTTGGCATGCAATCCTTAGCTCACACTAGCTCCTGCCCACATTATAAAAGCACTACAAAGTGAAACTGCAATAAGTAAGTGGTTATAGTTTTAAAATTACTTCTTTAAAAAAAGATGCAGACCAGGGCAGTTTGGTTGCAGGTCAGCAACATATTAAGAAAAAGGCTAACTCAGAAAACACAGAGGCGGCTGTTCCTGCCAACTCGCCTGTATTGTTGTTGACACCAGGCTTCTGCTGCTGCAACCCATGCATCCAATAGAAGCCTCCAAGAATTTGATTTGGACCCGATTCTGCAATATCCGGTAGCTATGGAGATAGTGGCCCTGGCGTCTGCAGGAATCCTTGCAAATTTCGAGCATGTGCTGACGCCAAGTTTTGCGACCAGTTCGTGCATATTGTCTGTGACTCACTTTCATTTGATTGCCATCACAGGGAAAATGCATCCCTATATCCAAAATATCTTTGCAATGTGTTTTCATATACAAAGCATGTTAATGCTGCATAGCGCTGAATGAAAATTAACTGAGCTCACACATATTCACTTGGAGATGTAAGGGTCCATTCTTTCTTTGGCGTATTTGCCTATATGTACACGAAAGACTGCTTAAACCATTGCCTCTCCTATGTAAAACTGTCACACCTCCACTGTCTCTCTGTTCCTAGCCTTGCTATCTTGCTGGACTTGTTTCAATGGCTGCACAGCTCTGTTTAATACAAAGCTGGTGATAAGTCATCTCCAATTTACACAGCAGCACTGTAAACCCAGGGTGACAATCTGTGGCTGAGCCCCTGCAGCACGGCTAACCCTTTACCTATAGCCATAAACACTTCTGCAATGTGTTGGTAAACTCAGAGAGAGCAAAAACACAGTGCGCACCGCAGACAAAAGAACTGAAAGCATTAATGCAAGTTCTGATCGACAATGGCGTTATTAACTACAACAGTAACGTGCATGCCTTGATCTATTTCCAGCAGTCATTCATTAGTGAAGGAAGGATCTATTTCCAAGCATGGAAACAACCCTGCTAGACTTGTCTTTTAGATTAGAAGGCCAATCTGTTTGACGGCACTGAGCTTTCGTTGACCCATAATAAAGAAACACAGTGATTGATGATCTGGCTCAATAGGAGACATATTAGCAACGCCTCCAAAGATCTGGGCTCTCTGCGAAACTCAGACACTAATGTGGAATTTCCCCTCTTCTACTGCAGTTCAGTGTACACTGTGTGCATCCTTTTCATATTTCTCTTCTTTATGATATCGCTAAATCTGTCTTTTCATAGCTTTTTCTCACTTATGAATGCATCTTAATTCCCCTAAACTTGCCTTAAAGGCTTTATAAGTGCTTGTCAATTCGTAATAATCCCCTCGATCATACTCCTCTCACCAACTTCAAGTACGAGTGCAGAGCCAAATTGTGCGGTTACCAAATGTTCGCTCATTGCTTCTGACAAGTTTCATTCTGATCGAGTGCACAACAGGAGCTTACTTCTACTTTTATAGTTCATATTTCTTTTCGTGTCACACCGGCCAAATGATTTGCCTTCTTTCTGCACATGCCTCGTATCTCACAGAGATGTTGTGCTCTCTAGATCAGTGAAGCTGTAGAGCTGCGAAAGGATGCGCAAAAAGCAACAGGAATAAACACACTGAGGTCGAGCAAACTGTTAACACACATACTTATGGTACAAACCGAAAACAGGAAGAGGTGTGTGTGTGTGTGTGTGTGCGCGCGCATACGCTTGAGAGAGTGTATTCAATGTGCTTGAAGGGGAATTCCACCACTTTTACACTCTAAGTTCATCAAGTTACTCATGGGGAGTATACTCAGCCTGTAAAAACACTTGTATAGTTTCTTCTGTGGTTCTGTACGGTTAGGGAAGTCTCTAAAGTAGCCTAAGTAATGCCTGGGAATTCCCTTTGCCACATCAGTTTATGTGTATTTGTATTTATAAATATATGAAAAGAAATCGGTCTTTTGCATATCTTCCTCATTTACTGAAGTAGAAAAGAAGATAATAAAAATATTCCTAATATTTCAAAATTCAGTTCAATTCAACGCTAACACAGTCTTTTCTTGATGGCCCTTCTGTCTCTGTCACATAAAAAAACATAATGGCTTACATTTTATTTCCTTTCCTTCCTCCCTGATGAACTCAGCTTTCCACCTTAAGCATCCCTATCATCTCAGCACTCTGCTATTTCTCAGCTGTCTGTAAATGACAGTATCTGGCTGATGTGAACTCTCACTCCTTTGTGGAAATGTTCCAGAGCTTCTATATGCCAAACTCAAATAGCTCATTTATTCCTTAGTCCTCCCCCCTTTGAAAAAGAACTGCAGAAAAAAACAATTACACTCAATCGTATAAAGTCTTTAAGAAAGACAAAAAAAACCCAGGAAATTGCATTTAACATTAGCGATTTCACAAGAGTATATATTGGAGGCTGCAGAATGACAAAGCAAAAATACCCCCTTGAGGTAACTTCTACACTTTAAACAACTTAACAGAGAAAAAGCAAAACAAAACAAAGAGTCCTCCTCTTGTGAAAATTTGCAGTCATATTTCCCTACTGCATACTTTGTGGTTTTCTCTTAACTTCTTTCCATTTTGACATGGTGGGGGAAGCAGGTGCAATTCAAGCTGTCAGTTTTGAAATACACAGAGAGGAAATAGCACGCTGTCTTGTCCCTATCTGACACCACAGTGCACATGTATGTGTGTGCAGAGCTCAGGCTTTAAGCTTATCTTGGAGCAAACGAATGGAAACACCCTCTGCAAAGAGGCCCTTTTCATTTTAGCTTTTATCTAATTTTCTAAATGTAGCCTATGGGTATGTATTGCTGTGTTTATCATATAAAGTCTCCTTCCATTTAAAACCCTCAACACGCACCCCACTGAAGAGACAAATTTGACAAATGAACAAAGAACAAAATATTGCATGTTAACATCGAACGGAGACTGACATTTCCTTCTTTGTGAAGCAGAAAAGAAAGTAAGTTAATCAGCTTGCTGTTTAAATATTTTTTTAAAAATGCCAACCAAACCAATTGGAAGTATTAAATAGAAATTACAAACAAATTTCACTTGGAACCGATTAAAATAACCTAATCATATCAATTCTGCAGGGAAAACTTACAGACAGAGAGCTTACCTGCGTGTTTGTCTAACGCTGATGTGCCTCTGGGACCGACAAAGCCACTTCAGCATAGGTCATGCTGCTGCAATGCATTGTGGGATTTACTAACATCTTCAGTTCTCTCTTCCTCTACTTCTCTAACTCTGATCTCTCTCTCACTCTCATAATAGCACCTTCTGCTTGGCAACGGCTATACCACAAATGTGGTCAGGTTTACAGCGAACCATCACTGCGCAACATCAAGTCTCCATGACAACCACCCTTTATCTCATTTGCATCTTCTGCTTGCATTATCTACTTATGCCAAATATGGTCGCTTTGTTATTCTCCCCGCCTCTCTCTGTATCCCCTTTCTGTAACTTCCTCTTTTCGCCCATTTGCAAAACTACGTGTCAACACACTGTGCAACATATATTGTACAGTATATATCCGCAATGACATGTACAAATGCTTGAAAAGGTGCGAAAAAAGGAACTGATTGAGACATTATAGTTTGCAGACTAAGAGATAAGTTAGATGACTTTACAAATCAGGAAGTGGAGTGTTGAAGAGGCTGTTCGTGAGACTGACTTCAAAAGGAAACGGGGGTTTCAGCTCGACAATATGACCTCATCCCCTTAAAAACACGTATATCATAACAGAGCACCATTGATTCCTCTTCTGCGAGGTTGTTGCAGGCCCTTCCTCTTCCACCCAAAAGCCCATGTCTATCAAACTATCAGTGGAATGTTGAACCAGGCCCCTGGGGCCCACACACGCAGCAACACTCAGCAGCACTCAGCACCTGTTTCCGACTGCCAGCACAGAGAAAGAGACGCGGTCAATCACACAGGACAGCTCAGTGCAGGAGAAAGAGCAGAGGAGGGTAGGAGACAAACAACAAGCATTTTATCAGCAAAAATACACAAGTGAGTAGCTACAGCTTTATCTTTCACAGCAGAGTGTGACTGCATGTAACTTAGCAATATTACATGAATTATATATATTATAAATAGAATGTAGTCCTATAAAATAAGGTCAGTGCAGTTTCCATTCTTTGTCTCATTTCAGTACTTTTCAAAATTTGCAGTTCTAGCTTCACTCTTAAAGTGCTACTGTTGCTTGTGCACTGCTTGAAGCTACTCTTTCAATACAGTAAAAAGAGCCGCAAAGCATTTAAAAGTGATATATGGTGTTCTTTAGCAAGAATTTCAAAGATCCTTTATGGCTTTGTGTGCCATAAATGAAAACACCTTCATATGTTCAACTTTTTAAGTCTGAATCTCGATAAAGTTCACAATCTAATTTCAATTTGAATATGGCTCACATGAAAAGACTTCCAGGCCTGAATTATTCAGCTGTAGCATACTGAAACATGTAATTGTACAGCCAGCTAACAGCTAGTAGACTTTAGGATAACCTGCTAGTATTAAACAAGTGTGTCTATCCACCCTCAGGTTCACAATCATCATACTTATGACAAAATTTGAAATACATCCTATGACTCTCAAAGTAATTCTTACAAAAATAATCAGAAGAACGTACACAGTAATAACTGGTACGTGCCCATGTCCCAGTAACACTTAATGACACAGAGAGAAAAAAAACAAAACATGGGCGGTTGATGTTGTTTATACGCTAAAAATAGGTCCTTAAAATCCATTGCTAGGTGGTTGCTTTGCAACATGATTTAGTCATAATATATTGAACTTCAACTTTTATGGCTCTAAACAAAACCTTAATATTGTGAAATTAAGAGGATAAGATGCTTTTATAAGGCATAAAGGTTTATAAAATCAAAAAAGGGTCATTTTAGGCCGTTACTACATGGTTGGTAAGCAACATGTATATGATGATATAGAGATGTTAAAATAAAAAGCCTCACAAACTGTGAATGTTTCTGTTGTATTCAGATTTCTCACTTCTCTATCTGACTTCAGTTACCCAGACAGTGTCAGGGAAAGCTCTGAGGAAGGATCAGAAGCACTGATCACCACTGGGCCTCCCCTCCTATGGGCTGAAGGGCTGCTGTGAGTCGGTGGACTGGAAGTCAATGAAACCAGGCCTAATTTAGCCTTCGCTCCTCCGCGAGCTGCCAGGAGTAAGAGTGAGACTCCTTCCCTTTTTAGGGCTACCAGGACACTGCCGTCTGCAAGTGGCACTACTGCATACCTAACTAAACTAAGGAGCTGGAAAGAGTGAGAGAGAGAGAGAGAGAGAGAGAGAAAGAAGCGAAGGGGTGACAGTCAAAATTTGTTATACAGATGTGCCATTTAAATGGCTGTCTAGATCTGAACATCATAAAGCATCACAGACAGAACTGCGTAAATATTTTAACAAACCACCTACTTGAATTACTCCAACTCAAAGTTTATTTAACAAGCCAGTTTAGACACTTTTACAACTATCTTATCTTTACACTGCTTTCATTAGATACACGGACAACTTGACTTTGTAACTGACTTTGACACGATGATCACAACAGCTTGCAATAGGATCACACCAGTAATTAGGTGAGAAGAGAGAACTAATCAGCGTCTATACTTACACTATCCACTCAGCCGGGTCCAGACACTGTGTCATGCAATCTTTAATAACTCCAGCCTACACAGAAAGTAGATAACTAGATGCTGCAGGCCTGGAAGTGTTTTTGTTCCCCCCTATCGTGATCTGGCTGATATTCATGTGACAGAGAGAAAAGGGGAAGATACTTGGCTTCAACTCTGGTGAGACCCAGGAAAACATTTTCTTTTTCAGTTCATAAGTATTTTCCAATTTGTGTGGACTAAATAAACCCATGACTGAAAGAAATGCAAATTTGCACTGGCATTCAAAGCTTTTGCTTTGGAACCGGGGTGTGAGATACGTCGAAGGCAGTGTTGCAACTATGTGCACACACGAAAATGATAGACACATCACTACTTAATAACCATGACAGCCCATGTATTTAAAATAAATGGATTAGACGAGGATTACTCACTGAGCCCCAACTGCTTTCGCATCTCTGTGTTTATATAACTACACATGTATTCTTGAAGACAGTGATCACATAAGCCATGGTATGGAGCACACAATAGGATTATGTATGGTGGTGTGCTCAAGTATCGTCTTCAGTTCCCACCACCTATAGTGAGCAGACAAACACTTGGCTTCCGTTTCACTGCATGCATGTGTAATAACCTCAACAGAGACCAATTCAAGCTGACATAATCCCATCAGCCTATTCAAGGTTCCCGTCTGACCACCCCTACATAATGAGGAGATAAAGGCCCCATCACTGACTGTTTTTATGAAGATAATTATGCACGTCTCTTGTGTTATGGACAACTGTTAATTGAATTAATCTTCCCTCACTGGAGTTGAATACTATAATTTTGAAAGTAATATCCAATCATTTCTGCTTGTGTCTGACTCTGAGTCGGTCTCCTCACCGGCTATTAAAGCAGTCGTTGAGACTTGTTTATCTCATATTTCTCACCTCTGCATGTAAGCAATTCACTGGACATCATTGCAGCTATTTAAAACTTCCTTTCCTACTAACACTATCTATGTGAAGGATGAAATGTCACTACCAAACCAAACCAAATTCTGATAACAGAAAAAAACAAGCTCTCACACACCAACATTTCTCCAATCTTTTTTTGTTCAGTTTTGGTGAGCAAGTTATAGCCTCAGTTTCCTGTTCTTAGCTGACAGAAGCAGTAATCGATGTGGTCTTCTGCTGCTGTAGTCCATTTTGTGCATTCAGAGATGGTCTTCTGCATACCTTCATTGCTGAATATTTGTGTTACTTCCTATCAGCTCAAAAGTACTTTCACCCTGACAACGACTGCACACCAAATATTTTCTCTTCATTTCAAGCCCGTCTTAAAATACCAGTCAGGCATCTTTAGAACTGAAACTGGCTTTGGCTGCTGTTTCCATTCCTCTTGTTCAAAATAGTTCAAAGGTAACTGATGAAGGAATAACATTTGCTCACCTTGTTTTGTACAAAATTCTGAATTAATCCCTAACAGGACACAGATAACATCCACACACTATCTGGGCACATCTACAATTAGCCACAATGAGTTACTCAGTAAGAATTGCATCAATGGGCCGAGGGTAAGAACAGTCACTGACCAGCAAGCAAAGGCTATATGAAAAAGAAATTTTTCTATACAGTACAAAACCTTTCACTTAGTAACCTAGCAACCAGTGAACTCAACACGGCACCTATTGCAATTCTAAAAAGCGCCAGACATAATTACGTCTCTCTTCAGCCAATCACATGAGGCCCTGAGCCATAAATAACAGACTGCTCCCCTACAGAGCACCAGTCTGTGCTGAAAAGTCAACAAACACTTTCTCCAGTAGCAGCTCTGGCGTCCTTACTGGATTCATCTCGCTAAGATGAAGATAAACAGAATGGTAAAAGGAAGGTAGAGGCCTAAAAGTTTTCAGAAAGAAAGAGGTAGAGAGAAAGAGAAGAGAGAAAAAGAAAAACAAATGTAGCCTATGATTAGTGAGTCATAATGAAGGCTGCTAAATGGGACTGTGGCTATGAGCTATGTCATTAAAGACCGTGCCAAATGGCTGGAAAACCTACAGGTCTCTATTTGAAACACTGGCATGCTGGAAAAGGAGGACGCTGCTTAAAAGCTTCTTTTAAACAGCTTGGTCGAAGTTGCTGCAACATTTCACAGGCATCATAATAATCTCAAAAGCAGAACATCTCGGCAAGCAGTAAACACGCCACCTTCAAGCCTTGTTACCCCTGCGTGTGTGTTTTTGCCAGACAGTTAGAGCAGCTCTATGTTAAACAACTTAGTCTCTGAAGCCTTATATTTAGACTTTACGACCAATATTAAATTCTGACCAGGGTGATATAAGATGTCAGCTCGATAGGGCTGCAGTTACCATCAGATCGCATCACGTCACATCACACGGCTGCAAGAGGTCATTAGTACATTTGTTGCTTCTGGGTGATGAGAGATAGGATTGGGAATGCGCTCTCCCTCGGGACCTTACTAATGTGTAATAAAGTAACAGAACACTTGGGGATCTGAGAATTTATCTAACCTATCAGTGTCATATCATCGTGGTAACTGTGGCGACAGCTCAAAGAGACAAAACAGCTGCACAGAAATGCAATGACCGAGCAGTTTCTCTGCCTCTTTTTTTTTTTTTTAATTTACTGCGAGGCCTTCTGAAACAACCCTTTAAATGTGTTTAAGCCAATCAAATGAAATACTGCCTCAACACTTTGTGAGGTATGTAAACATGAAAGACAGAGGCATCGGAGAACTTGGCATGCATCACATAATAAAAGCCGATGCACCCTACATTTCTCATGCCCTCCTTGATTTAGAGCCTCTTGCACAGGGAAATGACACTTCAGTGTAATGTATCTCCCAAGTAATGACGCTATTAAGTTCATGCAGGTGGACATCTTGACTTGGATTATGGTGGTACTGCCTGCTGACTGTATGCTTTCTGGCAGTCGTGTTATCTGTTGCTATGATGGTGTTTACTCCCTGGCTACAGTATTTTTTTTTTCCACTTTAAGGAGGAACATTTTTGACGAAGGACAAGCACTGCATACTTGTCATTTTTCAGATTTTATGCCACAAAAATAGCTAGACACAGAGCACAGAATACTTCAGTTCAAAGACTGAAGTGTTGTGTTGCTATACTCTTAAAGATCTGATGTTAAACCTCAAATTAAATCATGGGTAATTTGATCACCTCTGCCCTTAGAGACAGCGCCCCAGTACCTTTAAAACAGAATTAGACCTTCATTAATCTGTGCATGCATACCTGAAGGACAAATGTATTCCTTTAGACATGAGGGAACGGGTGTGATGCTTCAAGCAGAACAGTCCGACCCACTCTCTCTCTCTCTCCGAGCTCCCAGGACATTTTCTTGAAGCCTCCCTATTGGGATTCTGGTAGCCTACATTCCCTGCTTCAAGGTCGGCGGTGGTGACAAATTAAATTACTTGTCCTGTTTTGTAGTGCTGGCACCAGGTCAACAGCAACTTGGCTAAAATGATGAGTGCGGTATTCTGAAGGGAGCTGCATTTGTCCTGACCCTCTGGTGTCAAATTTGCAAAGCAACGAGCAGTGATGAAAGGGCTGCAAAAGCCACGTATTAAATTCTGCTTCTGTAATCACTTGCAAAGAAAAAAAAAATCAATTACCTCTACTTTATACCGTCGCCCTTTGGGCTTACCCAGAGCCCTCGGTTAGTAAAAGTTGCATCATCTCCGTTCACTCCAATGGACCATTTTATTTTATTTTATTTTGCAGAAATAGTTCCTGGAACTAGGTTTTTAGCTGCACAGAAGTTTGTGAAGTTGTTGGGTTTTTTTTAACGTGTGCATTGAAACATGTTAATTGATTATCCACCAATAAATTTGTAGATATGCCAGCTTAAGCTAGCAAACACAAGAACAAGTAGCCTAATGAATTCAAAATTATGTTTTATATATTATACCCCCCCCCACACACACAACTAAATAACTAAATATTATATTAAATATTAATTAATATTACTATATTGTGATATAACATAATGTGGCACGCGACGATTAGGCCTGGACTCGAACTCAGCAAGAAGTTGGTGGGTTTGATTCCACCGCCTGGCCGGGGTTTTTCTGTGTGGAGTTTGCGTGGGTTCTCTCCGGCACTCCAGCTTCCTCCCACAGTCCAAAGACATGCAGATAATGGGGTTAGGTCAATTGGTAATTTTAAATTACTGATAGGTGTGAATGTCAGTGCGAAAATAACATTATTGCTTATTGTTGTCTGGTCTGTTTTAACAAATGTATTGATTCAGAGTGATAAAATAATAATTGTACAATAATCAGGGAAACAGCTAGCTATTTTCTGAAACATGGCTAAAAATAAAGAGTATATTTGCATATTGTAGCAGTCTCATAAATACTGTTTTTAGGCTTATGGTTCTGTTGACTGTCACACTGTGTATAATGTTGCATCTCAGCAGATGGTAAAATCAGAAGGAAGGAAAAGGAAACAAATCAGACCGGAAAAAAAAACAAGGTAAATTTAAAATATGGAAACCAGCTCTGAAAAAAATAATCAAATAAGGCTAAATAGAGAATCTAATAAATATATGCATTTTTATAGAACTGAATTCTGTGTGTGTTGTCATACCGATCCTGTATTTTAGTATTAGTGTAAACTGTCAATACAAATCCATGAATTCATAACTAACGACACTAGTCGCACTTTGTTTAACATCAACAGCTAATTCATTTCTAAAATTTTATTTATAACAACTACATCACATGCCATCATGCATTGACTCGTCTAAAAAGTATGTACATTTTCTGCTTTTTTCTCTCTGTTAACACTCTCTCAGCACACGAACCACAGGTCTGAAGACTCCCTGCAGTGAAACAGCACCCTAACCTGGAGATTCATCTCCCTGAGTTTTTCCAAGATTTACACTTATTAATTTTTAATGGCCTACACATTACCCTTTACAGTGGTCTGGACTTTGTAAGATAAAAAAATGTGCAAATGTGTTCTTGAATATGATTGCATTTGTGTATATGTTGATGTTTTAATCCATAGTTACAGTCATTGTCATTGTTCTTTTAAAACTATTTTTCTCCTCTTGGCGTCAGTGGGATGAATGTACACGTATGCTTTTATCTCTGAGTGAGTGCAGCGTCCCCATGCAGCACAGCACACAACAGCAGATAAAACATGTTTTAAATATATGAATATTTATTAATCCCACTAAAGTGTCTTATAATAGCAAAAGTCTTATAATGCCTGTGAAAAAAAACATGCTCTATGAGACATGATACACAGTAATGAGTGTTTTAATGCAATCTGCCCTGTGTAGATGTGAAGTGTTGAGTAGCATTGTTGTCCACATGCAAGATATATAAATTCCTGTCTCTGTCACACAGAAAGTTGGACTAGATGTTTGTTTTGAATTTGAATATTTTAAGCTCTGGAGACCAAAATATTTCCAAAGCAAACACAGTTATTCTCATGCTATCATTGAAAGTCACCCGTCAGTCTCATTCTGCCATTAAGATTATTTGCAGTATGAATTTATCGTGGCATTACTGAAGCCACAATGAAGAAACCCTGACAGGTAGAAAACAACTGATTTTGAAATGTTTACCCAAGTTCACTAAAACCTAACAATAAATGTTAAACTGTGGCTGCTGTTGGTTAGCATATAATGTTAAAAACACATTAACAAGCTCAAGAATTGTCAGAAAGGTAGAGGAGCACACAAAGACTTAACCACATGCACTTTACTGTGGTATAAAAACTACTGCAGATCAATGCATTTGCTGCATTCTGAACCCTCTCTGCCTCTGTGACTCTTACTATTAGAGGGCTCTGGGCTTACCCTGCTGCTGATGGAGGATATCATGTGCTTGCACATGAAGCTTCACAACATTAGCCCCAGTTTTGTGTCACAAAAATTAGAGTGCACACCACCTGCTGGACATTTGGGAATGTATAGTAAATATTCTTTTTTTTAAATGATTTTTCCTTCTGTATACAACCAAGAGTTAAAACACAACCCATGTTGTGACACAGCTGTGTTGCACTCAGTCTTCACTTACACAATCACCTGAAGGGTGTCAGTGTGTCAGCAGCACATTGGGCTTATCTGTCGGGTTGTTATCGGCACACAAACAGCTCACACACCACACTGGGAGGAACTTAGATTATGTAGTGCGGTGTGAAAACAAACAAACAGACAGCTTAATATTGAGGCAGAGGTCTGTGTGCAGTTTCATATCTGCCATTGTTGTTGAGTCTTACCTCCAATATCACACATCACGAGGACATGATGAAGTAACATCCTCATGATGTGTAATTTTCAGTTAGATGCACAGCAGCTGGCATGTTTCGCAGCACCTGCTTACACTTGAAGTGCGCTGGGTTCAGCTTACAAAAGACTTATGAGAAAATCTAAAGCAGCATTATTTGCTGTGGTCAGATATATGAGATACTAGTTTCTACCAAAGAGGTCAGTGTTATGCAGGTTATTTTGTAAGCATGATGCTATTGGACTACTGGACACTAGAGAGCAGCAAAGCAGCATAAAACCCAGGCTAGCCCTCTCAAACATATTTTTTCCTTTTAATTTTGCACATTTGGTGCATTTGTACAATAAATATTGTATCAATCTTTACATTTGTAAGCTCATGGATACAAGCAGAAGTCATCTGCGAATGCACTTCATATATTTTCACTCTTTTATGAATGAAGGCAATTTTCAGATCTCTGTGATTTCACTTGCACTACCTCTGCAAGCCATAATGATTTAGAAAGCATCAGCAAAGGGGCATAGATGGCCATTTTGATGTTATAATAAATTATTACTACTATTGCCACATAATCCAGTCCAGGCTTTTGGGGCAGAAAATAATTATTAAAGTTAAGACATAAAAAAAGTGTAAACCATAAGTTTAATAATTTATTCCTCAGTCTATATGAATTTGCACCATGTTGAGAGGTAGACTAAGTTCATGGGGAACAGGTTCACTGTATCTTCTTGACAGACAGTTAGACCACAGGCAAGCCTCTCCCAAGCACCAATTGTTCCTTTACATTGACAGAGCAGATGAATATTTAACAGGAGGAGGGAAAGTGGTAGGCATCAGGTCACTAAGAAGAAAATAGCACTCACCCCAGATGACCCCACCACCAACAGTCTGATGACAGACTAGATTGCTGCTGCTGATTGGCTGCTTATATCTTTGTTGACCCAAAGGAGAGCTGTGTAATGAGCCTTAAATGAAAGCATATTTGTGGGAATAGAACGTGTGTCTATAGGTGGGCTGAGTACCTTCAAGACAGAAGCAGACAGGGTGGAAAAGACTGCGGTCAGCACCATGGACAGCAAAAGGAGAATTATCCAGGTGATCAGCGCCATGCAAGCAGATATCAGAAAGCTGGAGCTGGAAAACATGGGCCTGAAGAGGAAAGCTGGAAGTAATCTCAGAAAGAATGCATCAGTTCCCATCATGGCAGCAGAATGCAGAGGTACACTCATATCATTATTACTTTGTGATATTAGGTAGTCCAAAAATAGAGTGATTTTACTATAAAATGTGTGCTCGTGAGATGTTTTTGTCTCTTTACGGCTCTCTAAGATAAGCTCATAGTATCATTTTAGGGGATAATAGATGTAGTTTTCACTACAGACTTGATTTGGACTTTCAGTGCTGTGTAAAAACATCTGGTCCCTTCCTGATTTCTCAGTTTATTGCATCGTTGTCATGATTAAATGTTTCAGACCAAAGCAATTTTAATATTAGACAAAGGTAACCCAAGTAAACCCAAGCAAATACAAAATGCATTTTTTGATGATGATTTTATTAATTAAGGGCCCTATGAGAAAAAAATGACTCCCAAGACTAATAACTGGTTGTGCCACCCTTGGTAGCAGGAACTGGAATCAAGAGTTTGAGGTAACTGTTTGAGGTAACTGTGGCCATGGAAGAGTTTTGACCATTCTTCTTTGCAGAATTTAATAGAGCCACACTGAAGGGTTTTCAAGCATGGATGGCCTATTTGAGGTCAAGTTAAAGCATTTCAGCCTGATTTAAGTCTAAGCCACTCCAAAACCTTCATATTGTTTGTTTGAGCCATTCAGAGGTGGACTTGCTGCTGTGTTTCAGGTCATTGTCCTTCTGCATAACCAAAGTGTTTTTGAACTTCAGGGCATAAACTGATGGTCGGACGTTCTCTTTCTGGATTTTCTGGTAGAGAGCAGAATTCATCAATTCATCCAAGTCCCGAGGAAGCAAGGCAGCCCAAGACCATCACACTACCACCATCAATTGGACTGTTGTTATGATGTGCTTTTTATGAAATGCTGTGTTAGTTTTACACCAGATGTAATCAAACTCAAACCTTCCAAAAGTTCAACTTTTGTATCATCAGTCCACAGACAAATTTTGGGGATCATGAAGATGTTTTTTTGGCAAATGTGAGACGAGTGTTTGTGCTCCTTTTTACTCAGCAGTGTTTTTTTCCTTGGAACTCCCACGGCTGCCATTTTTTGCAAGCAAGGCCTGCAGGTCCTTTAGATGCTGTTGGGATTGTTTGTGAACTCCTGGAGGAGTCGTTGATGCACTCTTGTAGTAATTTTGGTAGGATGGACACTCCTGGGAAGGATCCCCTGTGTACCAAGTTTTTCTCCATTGGTGGATTATGGCTCTCACTGTGAGTCCCCAGGCCTTAGAAATGGCTTTTTAACCATTTCCAAACTGACAGATGTCAGTGACTTGGTTTCTCAGTTGTTCTTAAATTTCTTTAGATTGTGGCGGTTGTGTTGCTTTTTGAAATCTTTTAGCCTACTTCACTCCAGGTAGTTTTGGATAATGCTTTATTCTTAATAAATAAAATCATGAAAATTGAAAATTTGCATTCTTTGAAAATTACACGGGTTACCTTTGTCTAACTTTATTTGATGACAGAAAATTAGAAAGGGGAATAATACTTCTTCACAGCACTATAGAGGTGAATAGGTTTATTTATTTATTTCCTCAGACATTGAAACAGTGCTCTACGGAAGAGGATTAGGGCCACTGGGGAAAAGAGCAGTAATGTCTTTTTTTTCTTTTCCAAAATTCTGGGGAAAAAGTAAGAATTCTGACTTTTTTTCTCAGAATTCTGGAAGAAAAAAAGATGTTACCGCCTTTTTCCGCAGTGGCCCTAATCCTCTTCCATAGTGCTTTTATCTCTGTGTTGTTGAATTTCATTTTCTCTTTCAGAAAGTGTCGTCATGACAGTGAGGCGATATTCAGTCTTCCAGCTGCGGGTCAATCATCGATATTTGACCATGGGCATCTCAAAGAGTGAGGGAGGGACCGGAAAGAAGCAACGCTGACACTGAGCATAGTCAAACCAGAGGCGGAGCCAGACATTTTATACACCCAGAGTTTAGCCCTAAAGGGTGGTATGCATGTGGGATTGGAAGGGGGGTGGGAGGCTGGGGGGTGGAGTTGCTGTGGAGTTGCTAAACCCCAATTCAAGATCCAGAACTGACCTGGAATTAAAACAGGACTACAACAGTTCAAAATCAGGACTACTTCAGGACTTAACCAAGACAGAACCAGAATCAAAACTAGATGATAGTAGCACTGAAAATCATCATAGACCTGCACTACACTGACAACACCTCTTTATTGTGGTAACATGAGACTGTATCTTCGAGGCTTGAGTTTTACGAACCTATCAATGACACTTTCAGGGTCAATATTATTCAAGTATTCCAAAAAGATACACTAGGTACTAGATACATGTTCTAATGAATTTTGGCAAACAACCATTTGACTAACATGTCTGTCTCACCTGGCTCTTGTTCCATTTCTCTTCTGTCCTCATTCTCCTCTCCATCTCCCTCTCTGTGCTGACAATCAAGACAAACACCACCATCATCAAATACACAGTTGAAACCAGATATTTACAAACTCTTCAGATATAAACACAATCACTTTTTAAATTGTAAAACATCAAATCAGAGTAAATGTTTATTTTTCATGGACTCTACTAACCTATCAGAAGCTTCTTAAGCTCAGAATGGAATCATCTGGAGTTTTCTTATTATTTAAAGACACAATAAACTTAGTGTATATATACTCCTAAATTTGATGAAAGTGGTAAAAAAATAGACAGCTCTCTCTCTCTTTATTCTGACGTTTAATTAATTTAAAAGATATTTCAATATTTATTTATCTAAAACAAAAAAGTTTACTTGATGTTCAACAGTAAAAAAAAATGCTTTATGTTTATTTCCCCTAAGGTGTATGTAAATGTCTGGTTTCAACTGTAAATATACTGAAGTCTATTGAAATTCCTCTTGTTTGCAAAGAAATATATTAAACAACATACAAAGCATAATATATAAAATAACATTTACCTGAGATTTTACTTTGAAAGAAGCCCCTTATGCCGATTTAGAGTGCTTTATTTAGCCGTGGAGGGTAACAACTGAAAATATGAAATAAACACACGTAAAGACTCTCTAAAAACAAACAAACAGCATTGTTGTCCAGCTTTTCATTTCGCCATTTGTTGATTCACTCAAAGAGCAAGTAAAACGTAATATGGGTCAAGTGATCAGTTTGATATCAATATTTTGTGATACACCGTCATATTTACATTATTTGTACAGTACGAATGATTTGCTTTGGTACCTGGTCAAACTTAAGCTCTCCTCTGTCTGCAATTCTCCTACAGCAAATTCGCACGCAGCAGCTTCTTCCCCTCACCTGCCTAAATGCTGTGCTCAGTCGGCTAGTGTCCGAGCTCGGATCATACCAAAATTAGGGGGAATTTACGACTATGCGCTATGTGCTTCGAATATTGTGTGTAGTTTTTGTTTTATACAGTTGTCAGCCAGGCATCTAACTATGAAACAAATTACAGTCTGACGCGGGCTTAAGCCCAGTAACCCCCCCTCCGACACCGGGCTTAAGCCCAGTAAGCACCCCCCCCATGAGTCAAACTACAATATATTTCACAAAATTCCAATATCTATCTCCTAGCAACCTATGTCCTCGTTTACAAATGGCAGTGAGAGATGAATAAAGTGATAAAGTTGAGGGTACTATAAAGGATTCAAAAGGTAATTGAATATTTTTTCTATACATTGTTCTTTCTTGTGTTTTACTTTAAGATGAAACTGTTGATAAAATACTTTACTTAATACTTCACTTATTTATTGTCTAATTATTATTGCCGATGTAACCATCAAGGTATGTAAGACATGAATCGCTAACGGAGCCAAGATGGCGACCGAGGTAGACCTGTTCTCCGCGGCTTAGCAGGATTTTGCAGTTTCACTTCCCTTTCAGCCTTCGTTTTTTCTCTGAATTACAAGTGAGTTATCCTACTGACTGTTCCTTCAGTACACGTATGCTGTACTTCTAAGTAACGGTTTCCTGAACTATACTTCAAATAACTTTTTCGTGACCCTAGCTTCCTTGCAAAGCGATAGCTCAGATGTTTCCAACAACTCAGGGTAGTAAAAGGAAGGAAAAAGAAACACCTATGAAAAGTAAAAGTCTAACGAAATGAGCAACCAAGGAAATGGAGAGAAATACATGTGTAGCTGGCTCAAAAACCACTCCCAAGAATGCCGTGGCTGCCGAACATGACTACAACTGCAGCAAAAGTCCTGAACTGATGCCACTGCTGGTTTCGGACCCCGATATTCCAGCCAGACCAGATGGTAAAAAACACAAAGGTGATATAACTCTTGCTGATATGCAAAACAACATTGCTACTTTAATTAATGAGCGCTCTGGATAATCTGGAGGCTATGGTCAGCAAGAATACTGTTAACATCGAGGCCATGAAGAAGTCTATTGGCTTCATGTTCTTGGAAGTAGAATCTTTGAAGAATGTCACCAAAACAGTTAAAGCTACTTGTAAGAAAAACAGCAGCAGATTGTCTCAAGTAGAACTGAAAGTCAATGAAGTTGAAAGATACCATCGGAGATGGAACCTCAGGCTCTCAGGTGTCCCTGAGCAAAAGCAAGAAGACATCTCCAGAAAAGTACTCGACATTTAACTCGGTGATGTTAACATTGCTCCAGATCCTTCACTAGACAGATGGCCACCTAGCTCAAATAACTCTGTCCTGTTGTTTAAATACATTTATGCAAAAAATTTCATTTAATAGACATTTGGAGAATTTAAAAACCCTAAAGCCAGACTATTTACATGGAGTAACAAATCCAACTCTTCTAAATCCCGTATTGACTTCTGGTTAGTCTCTGATTACTTAGAAATAATGTTATAGTCAATATAATGCCAACTCCACTCACGGACCACAAAGCAGTATCACTTCAAGTCTTTCTCAATCCTAATGCTGCCCAAACTTGTAGGAGCTGCTACTAGAAACTTAATAATTCCCTTCTAAAACATGAAAAAGTGATTGAAGATATTTTGTCATTAATGAAACGTTTCTGGGATAAAGCCCTAACCAGTCATCTCTGTCAAAATTTGGAACTCTTCGAATTTGAAGCCGCCTCATATTTAAGAGAGTATGGCTCATCTGCAGCAAAACAAACTCTCTTTTTAAAACATGCTTCACAGGTGCAGATAGCTATTAACACAATTAATGCCTTTACTTTAGCTTCAGGACTCCACTTAAACATTGGGAAATGTGAACTGCTTGCCCTTAGAAATTGTACCAGTCTATCTGTTGCTGGCATCCCAGTGAAAGAGTCTGTCACTTACCTTGGTATCATCATTAATAAAAATCAATCCACCAGGTTCTCCCATAATTTCACTCCAATTTTGGATAAAACATAAGCTAAATGCTTAGCTGCAGTGGGATTTATCCAGTAAAGGGAGAGTTTTACTCACGAAAGCGGAGGGATTATCTCGTCTAACTTATGCTTGTGTTTTTGTTGTTTCTTTTATCTTTTCTGAGTTCTCTCTTTGTTATGAGAAAATACTGTTTGGTTTCTTTAAGTACCCCATGGACAGGGCAAACGAATTTTAATTTATTAATTTACTGATATTACTGGCTAAATTTCATATACATAAATTGAAATTTTCTAACGCAAAACCATCCTTTCAATGCTTTTTAAATGAAACCAAACAATATGTTAAAACCATACAACATTCCCAAAATGTAAACGCTGTCAAAACCATAAACTTATGTTCCCTGTTCAATGTTATGTGATTCTTTACTAGACTGTTCTGTTTTGGTTTTTACCAAACCCCCGGACACTGTGTTTTTGTAATTTGGATCTATATTTTGTGCTTTGTCGATAAAGCTTATTCAAAAAAAAAAAAAAAAGAACCGCTTACTTCCAACCTGTGGAATGCACCTGTTAGTGACTTTTCTCCTCTCGCGAGATTTCGGATTGCGCAGTGGAGAACAGCCGTCCGCCATCACTGCATACAAGCTAACACTAGCCAAAACCACTGAAGAGAACGACTGACAACAACACAACAGACACACAGGGCGACCTAATTCCCACAGGGGAGGTCACCGAGTTTCTCTGTCGCTTTCCGGGCGCTGAAAGCAAATTAGCAGCTGCCTTTCATGTAGTCTTTAAGTCAACTTAGAAAGGATAGTCGTTGCAACTAATCATGTCCAACCTAAAAAGCGGCCCCAAGAAGGACACCAAGATGAGGATACGAGCCTTTCCTGTGAGTACTGAAAACTGTATGAGCTTTGTAAAATGACCCGAAACTATGAGACGAGTCAGGGGATGACAGGTCTTTATGCTAGTAATTGCCTGCTAACTAGTTGCTCAATCGAAGAAAAAAAATGTCACTCAAGCGAAAACTGCTTCAATCTGAGCAGTTACCTTGGGCGTATTATCGTGCAGTTTAATTAATGCTAGCTGGCTTATTGGTTTGTAAATGTCACCGTCATTTGTCATGAGCTTATGTTAGCATTAATTGAAACTTCAGTGAGAAGATGGCTAACTAAGTAGCGGGCCTGGCCGTGTTAGCTGTCTTGACATTTGCTATGTCAGTCTGCAGGTATCAGTGCGCTATGGTAACGATAAGCGGGGTTGTTTGTTGCTATTTATTCACGCTATGCTTTTGCTTCTGCCCGCGGAGGATATCAACACACATTGTCATGCAGAGTTAGCTGGAGAGCTAGCGCAACTTCATCCCAACAAGGTGCTAAAGTAAACATGGTCAAAATAACTTGAACAGGTTATGGTGTTGATGTTGGCCAACCCATCACAGCCACCCCTACCACAAATTCACACTTAGACGTTTGCATATAAGCATCTGATCAAGCCTGATACATTTAGGACAGTTTAGAAAAAGAAAAACCCAAAACAGATGACGAAGCAAAAATAAGAATGATTTTGTCAGTAGCTAGCGAGGTATATTTGGCCAAAAAAGAGAAAAAAATGAAATGGTCCATTGTTTAATGAACACACAATCAAGATATAGATGATGATCCTAAACACC